AGGATATTTATGCTGAAAAAATAATTTTAAAAACTTATATGATTATATCCTTTTAATTATCTAATTTAGTATTGTCTTGAATACATGGCTAATTATTTTGGTGCATGTTCCCATATCTCCAAAGTGGAAGTAAATTTTACTATAATACATGAAACCCCGTTAGCAACTAATTATAAGGGTCCATGTATTTGATTACCAAGAAAAAAGGTTCATTTATTTCTCACAAAAAAAATACTACATTTTGTTGTTGTAATAATTTTGACGTTTTTCCCAAAAAAAAAATGTATTCCTTAAGATTTGATCCGCATTATGATTGTGTGTGTGTGTATTAGAAAAAAAATGATAATAAAATTTTTTTAAATTATATAAATGACAATCCAGTTTTTCAAAATGTTATAATTTCACTGAAGTTTTTTGAGACCTATGTGTCAATAAATTTTAAATTAAAAAAATTATTTTACCTTTATTGATAAGTTGTAATTTTTTACTTAATTCTTATAATTTTTTAAGTAAAAATTATTATTCCTTAAATAAAAATTATGATTGGAGCCTGTTATTTTAAAAAAAATTTAAAAAATTTTTAATTATTCCTTATCAACTTTAATTATTCCCAACATTATTCCCAACATTTTTTTGTTATTAATATATTTACACAAGTTAAGATTGAGGTTTGTTATTTTAAAAAAATTTTTAATAATATAAATTATATTTGATAAATTGTGATTTCTTATTCAATTTTTATGGTTAAAACTTGTTATTTTTAATAATAATAAAATAATTTTTTTACTTTAAAAGTAATGATATTTTTTAAAAATTGAATTATCATCTGTATAGTTGGGGAAGATACTTTTGTGATTTTTGTTATATTTTTAACCTTTTGAGGTCTGGCCAAAAAAAAAAAAACCTTTCGAGGAGAAGACGGAGATTCAACTTGGGGGCAAACAGGGGCGGCAAATGTAAATATTTAGGGCCACGTGTTGCTTTGTGACTGGGTAAACCTGCCTGCAACCAGATAAGATTCATTGTTTTGACCAACCAGTAGCCAGATAAGATTCATTCAGTAGCATTTATACATATCAGCCCCGACATGGACACGAAAGGCTGCCAAATTTTGGGAGGTGTCTTGGCTTCTCGTCACTGCGCAAAGCGACAATGCATCGGCATCCCCTCCAAAATATCAGGTACTCCTTTCATTTTAAATTATAAAATATTTTTAAATAAAATTTTATATATTAATAAATTTTATTAAATATATTTAATAATTTTATTTTTTTAAAATAAAAATATAATTTTTTAAAAATATCTATCATTTAATATATTAAAAAGAGAATGGACGAAAATTAATTATAAAAAGAAAAATGTAATATTGAAATAGATGTATTTAATGAAGTCTTAATCTATCTAAAGTATCTTATATTTTAAAATACAGAAACTCCTTCAAAAGTATTTTATAATTTAAGACGGAGGTAATATTAGAAAAACTATCGCTTTTTACTTATATTTTTGTATAAATAAAATTACTTACTTCAATAAGCATTTATTACACATTTTTTAAATCATCTTTATAATTTACATTGATGAGAAATAATTAATGCACGCTTATATTAATTAATATAAGATATTTTAGTCTAATTATTTTATTTTTAAATATAATTGTTACAGTTAATTAATTTTTTTTAAATTATGTGATATAATTTTTTTTTCATGTATATAAACAGAGGGAGCACGAGGTTGAAGCTCTTCATTGCTTTTCCTGCATTTATCTCTTTCTGGACATTTATGAATTCTTTTTTATTTATTTATTTATCTTTAAAAGTAGTAGCAACTTTGAGAAAGAAAACTAGGCCACAATGAAGCAGATTGTGATCGACCTGATCAGGGAATGAAACATTGGCTAGAGTTTTTAAAAAAAATCAACGACTCTTTCGTCGGCAAAAAGAGAATCGGCCCCAAACTGAAAAGGAAAATTAATCATTTGTTCCTGTTATTTAAGTCCTTAAAATTTAACTCATTCAATTTAATCTCTCAAGTTTCATCCATTTAATAAACTAGTCCCTAGTATATGAACTAATAGATTAAATGCCTAAAATTGGATGGGATTGAGTTGCACCTAATTAAATAACAGCTTGGCTTCCATGGCCCTTCCTGCAAAAACTTCGTTTCAGAGACCTGTGATGGCAAAAGGATCTAGAATCTAGCCCTTACACTGAGAGAAGGACACATGGCTTCTAATCAGCGCCTTTCATTGACTGAATGAATAAAATATGGGCTTCAAAAAACCCAGGGAGATGCCTTTATTTATCCAAAAGTCTCATTCTGGACTCAAGGTGAATAAATGTGGGCCTATTAAGCCCAACAATGAAATCGAAGGGATGTTGCAAAAACAAATCTGAAACAGAAATAAGCCCAGCCCAGAACATCCCAAATCCAACCAACTTTTATAGTTGTTGTTATTATTTGATATTCTCTCTGTTCTTTTCTTTACCAACATTTAATATTATCATTATACGTCCACAGAACGTGATATCGCTTGGGAAGGCCGTGACTATGAACAAGTGAACAAGGGACAGATATGACCCGCCCCGACAGGACTCGACACATTTCTAAACATGACGCTGCATTAACTACGTTCAATTTGGATCCCAACCACCATGCTTACGCCCTCACTTACGTACGAAGTCTAAACTAAACCAAACAAGCAGATCATAATGCTCCACCTTAACTAGACATGACCAGTTGACCACCCTCTACAAATTTCCCTGCTTATCTCTCTCTCTCTCTCTGTCTCTCTCTCTCTCTCTATAAAGAACAAAACTGTGTGATACTTTGATTTTAAACCTAAATCTAGATACGGAGTTTGTAGTTAATTTGATCTGTAAATGATTTAGAGGATGGAACATGACAATGATCACGTGCAATTACCACCTCCTGTATAGATTCAATGCACTCATAGTAATATTTCTTAACTGAAAGAATGCATGACACTGACAAGCAGATACGAAAGTGAAACTAAATACCGTAACACAAATACATGGGGCAACCAAAAGTCGTGGGAATCAACATCAGAGGGACCAGCAGAGCAAGAGGCTTGAATTGTTCCAACCACATCATTTAATTCATCACATTCCTCACCAAACCCTTCCCCCACCAATGATAAATGCTCTGATATTTTGGCCTTGGCACTGAATCACATCAGGGAAAAGAAAAACATTCAAGTCGGGTCTCATGATCTCATGTATATGATCTTACATTTAATCACTATTAATAATTAGACAGACAAACAAGACACGAATGAGGTTTGTCCCACTTAAAACAATCTGTTGTAACATATACTTCTACAAAAATGAGTAGCTTTCATTGGATATGCATGGAGGAACCAACCTCTGTTCACAGGGAAAACTAGCAGCAGCAGCCAAAAAAAAAAAAAAAAAAAACTTAACCCAGATCAGCTGCTCCAATCCTATCCTCCATATATTCCTTTTCTATGATTCTGGGAATCTCACTTTGGTTATACTTTTCAGCCTGCCAAAACTATTCATCTCTATCTTGTGCTTACAGAATGGGATACAATTTATCTATAGGTTTAAATGACTTCATTCAAAACTCTAGCTAAATTTTGATATAACTCCAAAACTCTGATGTTGAAACATGTGAATCATAACACGACAGAAAAATATTATAAAATTTCTTCTCATCTTGCTTCACGTGATTGACTATCTAAAACAATCAGGCTAAGAAGATGTTCCATTTAACACAGATACTCCGGTCATCTCTGAAAAGACTGGAATCTTACTATTGCCAACAGATCCAACTGAACTAGCAAGTCGCGTGCAATTTAATGTCACATAGAATAGATTCAATGTACACATACACTTAATTAATCGGACGTGATTTTCCTTAACAGTAAAACACATCAAGTAATAGTGATTAAACAAATCAATAACAAAGAAAGCACATAATTATTTGATGATAGCACCTGAATATGACGTAGTTAAAGACTTCAGAATACATAAACCAGAGACCAAAAAAATGTAGATACCGGACGTGAGTTGAACACGATTATTCAGGAGCCAAAGATAACATCTCAAAAGCAGAAATGGAAGCATATATAGCTTTTGGGATGAGCGAAGAGAAACCAACTTTTGCAATTGGTGAAAAAAGAACCTTAATTCATATCAGCTATGTAAATCATATCAAGTAGAAACCACTTCACCATCCTCCACACCCACATACAAATTCATTACATGAACGTTATTGGCATACACTTCCATAAGCGGATTGCTTCTCCTACAATTTTCATTAATATCACTGCTGTCATAGTAATTTATTGTTTCATCTCACTCTTCAAGCCCTTGACGAGGTGCACCATCTACGTTAATTGATCTACACCGTCCCACATCCCACCTGTATATAATTAATAGATTTTGCCAATCTGGCCAAGTCTGAGAGGATATTAAAGATGGATTCTAGTTCGATGATGAGAAATTGTAGAAAATTGTAAAAAGAAAGGAAAACGAGAAAAGTTTCGACCTCGCTCTTTCTCGCTCTGGGCGGTTCACAATGTTCAGAACACATCAATCAAAACAAAAGTCAAAAGTAACATGGCTTTTTTCAACAGAAAAGAAAGCGAGGTGAGAAAGATTTAAGACTCATTAGTCAAAACCAAAAAAAGTAACACTTTTTTCTCTCGCTGGGTGGCATCCAGAGTTCAGAACTTATCACTCAAAACCAAATGTTCAAAGTAACATTTGTTGTCAGAAACGAGAAAATAACTTGAAGGACAGTAACTTCGAAATCACGGGAGAAGTTGGCTCTAAAAATGATATTATTGATTGGCAGTAATAGCAGAATTTGGCTTTTGACCTGTGTCAGAGCAGTGAAGATGTAAGATATATATATATATATATTTTTTTGGGTGGATAAAGAAGATGTAAGATTTTTATTTGAGCTGCAATTACATTGGCACGAAGCTGTTGGGCCCCCAAAAATAATCATTTCAATTGGCGAATGCACAGTATAAATAGAAGTTGGATTCACCTCAATCCACAACCTTACCAATCAATTTACTCTCATGTGAATGTTATACAGAGGACTACAATCAGAAAAGCTCAAAAAAAAAAAAAAACTTTCATTGTTAATTACAAAAGACCTGGTGTACTACAAAAGCCAAGCCCTGTGAAGATTTAAGTGAACTTCGGTTTAGGCACAGGGCCACCATTTTGATGCACAGGACCAAGCTTTTGAATCCAATGACGAAGTCCTTTCTTATGGTCTTGGGAACAAGGGTTGTGCAAGAGTTTCAGAGTTCCATCAAGGGCAAAGGAAGACTCAAATTGTTCTAATACCTTGACAATCTGCCAGAACTCAGGCCTCTTATCTGGATGTGAGGACCAGCATTGCTCAATTAACTCTCGCATAGCAGGTGGACAGTTTGAAGGAATAACAGGTCTTAAATTCTGAAAAAGAAGAAAACAAATCACAAAAACATTAGAAATGCTTGGGTAAAGCCTGCTATTTGCATTCCATAATAAAAGAAGGGGGGAAAAGCTAGATAGTTTACCAACCATATTATAAAACATTTCCCTGTTTGCCAGAAGCTTATTGATCCCAAAATTTAAATTAGCTTTATTTATTGGCAAATTGTTGACTAAAATAAAATGTCATGTCACTCAAGCAGATATTATCATTTACAGTACTATTAGCTGAAACACAAATAGCTTAGGGAAATATCAAAACAAACTTGTACTCCGTTCCCTCTTTTGCAGGGGCAAGTCATTTCTGTATCTCTCAACTTACCAAGGATGCTTTTCATAAGAAGAAAACAAGGCTAAAAAGCCTAGGCCAAATGCAGTATTGGTAATTACAATATAATGGCACCTTTTCATACAGCGAACTGTAAATCATTGAAGGAGAACCTCAAAACGTTCAGATATAGCTAGGCACATCAGAGCATGCCCTTATCTAACAGCAATACGCATGAAAACTTAACTGACCATAAGTCTTCAACTAAGTCTAAAACAAACATCGAAGCCCCAACTTCAAAAGTCAGGAATCCATAATAAAAGAAATGCAAGTGACTTGAGAAAAGGGTGTGGCTGTGTGATTTTTCTTATTGGTGGAGAGGAATGCCATGCGTATAATGCATACTTCAGTGAGAACATCATAAAAGGCCATGACATTTTTCACTTTTCAAACCTGCAAGGCCAGGATGCAAAGATGTAAGAAGCATAGCATACCTTGTTTACCACAGCATACGCAGCCTGGACGGGATTCATATCCTCATATGGTGTTGTCCCAGTCACCATTTCCCATAGGATGAGCCCGAAACTGTACACATCAACCTTTCTCCCATAGGATTTACGTTTGATCATTTCAGGGGCCATCCAACGGAATGTGCCAGGGTCATCAGTAAATACATCACGGTATGCCTCCTCACAAGCAATGCCAAAATCAGCAATTTTGAGGTGAGAATCTTCACTGATAAGTACATTCTCTGGTTTAAGGTCCCGATGTATGATACCTTGAGAGTGTATATATGCCATTCCGCGGGCAATTTCTAGAGCAAAAGCCATTAGCTTTTCTAGAGGAACAGCTTTGTGCTCTAACTTATGCAAGTATGCCCTTAAAGAACCCTCTGACAGAAACTCCGTGATGACACAAAAAACGGGTGGTTTTCTGCAAGCTGCTACAAACTGTGCAAACAAGGTTAAATATATTAGATGGGGCATGATATAAAAGTCCAAGTCCTGTCATTTCTGTAAATAATTACAATAAAGCATAAACTATGCATCTACTCCGTCGATACAGCTGATTACTTCAACACAACTAACTAAGGCGTCAAATCCCAAAATCAGTAATAAGACACAACTCGGACAGTTCTTAGGTATCTCCAACCAAGTTCTCTGGTAAAAAGCATCAGAAATTGAGAACTAGCTCCTCCATGTTTTTATTGAAAATCCCAAGTGGAAGTAGGAAACTTTAACTAAATCTTATCAATTGAGAGAAAGAAAGAAAGAAAGAAAGAAAGGCAATGGACTTGCTAACCTTCTAAATGAACAAGACGTGACAGATCCCTTTCGTGAAGAGCAATTTTAATGTAAAAAACTTAAAACAAAAAGAAGGGAAGGGAAAGAATTCGAGCACCTTTATAACATTTTGATGGTGGAGACGAGATAAAAGAGTGACTTCTCTGATGAACTGTTTCTCTAAGCGAACAGCCATGGAACCACTCTCGTCATCATCTGGTGCCCTAATAAGTTTCACTGCAACAGGCTCATCCTTATAATTACCGCGATAGAGTCGGCTATGAGCCCCATGAGCAAACCTAAGCCCAACAAAGAGCTTAGAGAGGTCAACCGTCCATTCTTCTGCAGTTTCCACGGCAGTAACTCTTCCTCCGCCATGGTCAAAATACTTGGTCCAGGTTGATTCCTTCCGACTCTTCAGGTTATCGCTAGATTTCGAGCTCGACAAGATCGGACTTCGAGATGGCGATCTCAACTTGGATGCTTTGACCTCTCGGGATTCCTTTTTCGAGACCTTCCTCATGATCTTTTTTTCGTGATTTTCTTTCCCTCGAGGACCCGGAGTTGAGAACCTCTTTTGTTCATGCCTAGCTTCGCGGAAGGTGTCACAGAGGGAGGTTTCCGGTGAAGGAGACACAGATCTCAGCTTTCTCACACAAGGATTTTCAAGAATCGTAGGATCAACAGAGGCATGGTTCAGATTGAAAGAAACTGTAGGCCTGGATTTGAGACCCGAGATGACTTCAGACTCAATGCAGAGAGGAATCGAGGTCAATCTCGAAGAGTCCAATCGGTGGCACACAGTGTGAGAGAATTTCGTCCTCCTTATCCATGAAGTGGTATCTTCTTCCATTTTATTTCTTATTCTCCGTGTGATTCCTCCAAGCCCTAATATACCGATGCGTATGAATCTCCGGCAGAGAAAAAGGCTCAAAACAACCAAACACGCACTGCTCCTTGAATAATACTTACACAAATCACAAAGCTCTCACCAGACAGCAATTAGCAGATGAACAATGAACAGGTTTCAAATTTTCCCCTCAAAGAAATGAAAAACCCAGTCGAACCAATGAAGACCGAATAAGGATGAGTAGATTTCAGTTCCATTCGCGGACGGAAACCTATGAAGCTCGTTAGAGCCCATTCACATTCAGAAACGATAAAACAGAGCAATGTTTGATCACTATTCAGAACCTGACCTTCCTTAACCTCAACAGCAAATCCCAATGAGTGAAAAAGTCAAACACCACCTCCCGTAGAGGCCTGGAAAATCCCACACAGGTACCGAATAAACAAATGTTAAATATCAAATAATCCTACAAATTAAATATTACAAAACAACTCAACAGCAACCCGGGATAAAAGAAGAAAGAAGAAAGAATACTGCTAAATCATGACGAAGAGAAATACCCATGATTGACAAGAGAGAGAGAGAGAGAGTTTTTTCCCCCCCTGCTTTTATCGACATCATTGCCATTAAAAGAATCAAGAACCACTGAATTAATTATTTAATTATAAATAAAGAAGACGCAGATACAGAAACACAACTAATTACATCATGCCCGAGAATAAAATACAAGAACCTTACCGGTTGAAAAGGTTATCGGAAGGTTTCTCGCCGTGCTTGAGAAAGAGAGACTTTTGAATCGGAGGGCGAGAAAAAACTATAGCACCTAATCCCATTCTTCACGATGAAAGAAAGACATGTAGTGTTTGTCCGTTGTCTCAGTAAAATTCAAACGAAGATCATACGTATGGCATACGGAGGAAAACAGGAACCGTAGACTTGAATCATCTCATGATGATGACGAAGACGATCATGAGAGATTGATAGGTCCCACCTTTTTGCCTTTGGGAGAGATGAAGGGTTAGGGAAAGACGTTCTCTAGGCAGCAGTACCGTGGAGGGTTTGAGGATATAATAAGAGAAGAAGGGGTGGCGCTCGGTGGCGGGGACCACAAAGAAAAAGTCAAAAAAAGCGGAGGGCGACAGAATTTTTTGCTTTGAATTTTCAATTTGTTTGGGGGTTTTACTTTTTTTGTTTGGCGATCCAAGATCCAAGCTTTAAAGGAAACCACACAACAATAACAATAACAACAACCAAAAATAAAAAAGGCCGAAGGGCGGTAAGTGGAGGAATCCAAGTGTCGCTATCGAGAGAATGAGGCACCGAGGGACTTTCTCAAAAGCAAAGCCAATGCTAAGTTGGATTTTCGGTACGGTTCGCACGGATACCATACGGTTGGTATAATCTGGGTAGCTTGGGCTTGTTCCCGAAGGATTTATACCAATAATATACTCTTGCGTCCAAAAAAAATTCGAATATAAAAAGAAGCTTCTGTTCAAATGGCTTAGACATTTAATATTTTTATTATTATTAAATATTAAACATTATATTTAAATTCACCTAATTATTAGAAAAAGCTTCATGTTCAAGTTTGTAAATTATTTATGCATTATCTATTATTAGTACTACTTACTATTATTGATGTTAAATAATTAGATTGGCAGCCCATCATTTGTGGGACGAAGTTTTGAACGCTTCTTCGCTAATCACCACCCTCTTCTCGTTGCTTAACAAATGGCACGTTAGGGCTTAAATTTCGGTGAGTTGTAACTAAAAACTACTTCCTCCGTTTTTATATATAAAAAAAATTTTTATTCTAAATATAAAGAGTTGTTGACATTTTCTTGATGAATAAATTATTATATCCTTATTAAATTAAAAAAAGATAAGTACTTTCATTAATTCACTTTAAAAAAAGAGATTTATTTTTTATTTAAAATAATTAGGTGTAAAATAAAAATATTATTATGTTTTAATTAAAATAATTAGAGATGGATGGAATATAAACTATAATTATAATAATTGGTTGTAAGAATTTTCAAATAAATAATTTAACTTGATTCTCAAGTGATATTCGGCAGATAATTCATTTTTTTAAACAAAGATTATCCATCGGATAATTATAGCTTGATGACACATTAAAATAACTAGTTGATGAAATAATTATCTTGATACGAGCCTGACAATGGGCGCATCCCCTGTTATCAAATCAAATAATGACTAAAGCTCTTAAAAAAAAAAAAAGATATGTCACCTTCTGTTAGGGCTGTATGTGTTGGCTAGTGATTATTGATAAAGATTCATGCCTTCCGAATTTGATATTATTACGTGCATGATCATTTATCTCAACAATTAAAGAATGTTGGCGGTCAAAAAAAAAAAAAACTCACACACACACGCACACAAATTGACTCTACGCAAATCTCGAGATTTCTAATACAGACCTATAAAATAAAGCTATTCATTTTAACCTTACACGTGGTTTATCTTTTTCGGATCTCACAAATGGTTATTCCCTTTTATTCATGTATGGTGAATTAACCTCCTTCAAAGACTCAATCATTCTAAATCGAAAAATTAGGCAATTTTGAGCTAAGAATACCTGTTCAAACGAGATTTACGCTCTCATTAAATGATAAATTTCTTCTGAAAATCAATTTTATTTTTCTAAGCAAGAGAGGGGAAAAGAATGTGAGTGTTTAATATGGGGGAAGTACACATGGGCCTTGGCCCTTCAAAACATGGGCCTAATGTTTCAGGGTCTGGTGAATGAATAGATGCGTGGGACAACAAAGGACAAAGATTCGTGGGCCTTGCAGATAATAGGCAATGATGAGATCATCAATGCTGGGCCTATTAGTAATTGTAATTAACGACAGAGATTATCAACATGACCCAACATGTTCTGCGCTGACTAAATCACGCCAAGAACAAAACCAACAGACAAAAGAGAACGCCAGCTCCATTCATGCTGCTTTTTTTGTTTTTTATTTGCCCAGAACTCATATTGCTTTCAAATCTAATTATTCGTCGACAATTAAGCATGGTTTGATAGACTACTCCAAAAAAAAAAAAAAGATTTTGATTCTCTGCATATTCTCTCTCAACACATCTTTCCATATCCAATCTCAACAATTCATTTAACTATTGTTTTAGATTAATGTTGTGCGATTTCCAATTATGACATTAAAATAAATGTAACATTCATTTAATGGTTATTATTAATAAGTATTTTGATCTTATTTTCAAAAAGTATTTAAGTGATGACAGTGAATAATCTATTTATTTTGATGCTATAATTAGCAGTCTTACACATTAACCAGAATAATAGTTAAATGAATGATTGAAATTGGGTATGGAGACAAGGACGGATATAAAATTCAATGATTGGTTGGGGCAAACTTGAAAAGAAAATAAAGAATGGGGTGGACAAAATCCATTTTAAACTATTTTACAAATAAAAATTATAATTTTTACTAAGAGGCATGTAATGGGCATATGATGCATGGGTGGATGAACCTTTGCTTGGCCCCTCATATCCATCCCTGTATTAAAAGAGAGTATGGAAATTATCCAAATTAAAAAAAAAAAAAGATATCTGGTAGGAGCAATTTATGTCAAAAGAAATTAGGAGAATTGCATTTCTTATTTTATTTTTTTCAATAAAACATTATTTTACCCGTCAAACATTGCTGGAGTAGTTTTATTCTCCTCTATTTTGCAGGTTTGGTTTTAAGAAAATAAAATAAATTTGGAGGCAAAGTAGTCCCAGCCCTTTTCATCACTCCCCTCTGAACTGGAAGAAGGGATCATCATATCCATCGTGGCCTCTCACTCTCACCTCGGATCCACTGTGTTTTTTTTTTTTCACCTTCTGTGTATTGAACCAAATAATATGTAAAATTTTCTCCTTCCAATTAGTAGGGAAATTAATCAGTTTATATGTTTTTTCTGAAAGAAATAATTACAACAATCTAACTTCTTATTATGATTAATCAGTAGGGAAATTAACCAGTTTATATATAAAAATGATTTTTATTAAAAAGTAGTTAGCATCCACTATTGTTATCTAATCTAAATTTTGGATCTTGTTTTGCCTAAATAAGAAACAAGAGGAAGCCAAAAAATAAAACATGAATTTTTTTTGTATAAATAAGAAACACGAGCTGGCCCAAAAAAACATATGTATAAAGCCCGAATACAAGCCAATAAAATACTGTTTTTTGATAAAGTCCAATCAAACTATTATATCAAAGAAAAACATAATCGAATTCTAACATGGTAGGCCGAAACACTGCAAACTGTACAGGTTCAATTCTCCATGCAATAAATGGGTTTTGTCTTGTAAGGCCCAAAGTTCACTAAGCAGATGACTTAAAAAGAAAAATCAATTGACCACCGATTTCCTCTTTTCTTGTTTTTTTAGGAGATTTATATTTAAGGACTATTAAGAAACTTATTTACAGATAATAACCAATATAAATGAATTGTTGTAAAATGGGCACATAGATTTTTTTTTTTTGAATTGGATTAGTTATTTTGTCTGAGCATAAGTTTCTTTATAGATACTTGGATGTCATTTTCTCTATTTTTTTAAGTCCCTTTTTCTTTTTTGGTTTCTTTATTTTAACCCAAGTCATTTAGTTCTCTTTATCCAAGGTTGTGGTGAAGCATCCTTTTCTATGAGAAAACCCAAATTATGATATTTCATAGGAATTGGCACTATTAACATTAGCTTGATTTACTCTCAAGGTTGGATCTAACTTAAAGAGTTAATTCCTCACAACATGACGAATCAAGATTTAAATTCTTGTTAGGAAAAATTTTCACATTTAGTACATGATATTATCTCGAGCAGGATTAATTATCTCTAATAAAAAAGATACATGTGAGCAATAAAAAAAAATTGGCTTGATTTAGAGGGAGAGAAAAGTGAAAAAAATATGGAGAGAAATCTAGGAGAAAATTTTTTTGAAAATAATTCAGAGTTTTCTCTATTAACTAGTTTTTCTTAGAGTGCAATTTTAGTGCTAAGCGAGTGATGAACACCATTCTGCTTATCTATAAACACATAGTTTAAATAAAGGAAGGGGAGAATTTTGATTGTCTATAATATTTTAATCTTAGCCATTCGTATTTTTTTTATTGTTTCACTTTATCAAACCCTTGTGTCACCTGAGAACAAAGACCATCAAGAGGACCTGATTAAGAACCCAAACACCCGATTTCAACTCATCGATTTCCATCATTTCTTGAAGTGTGATTCATTGGATTGCATAACAAAACCTTTGATCTATCATGTTCCTCTATCTTAAAGCTTCATTGTGTTTAAATGGTTGATCCAAGGTTTGATTTTCCTGCACAAATAGAGAGGCTTAGTGTAACATCCTAAGTTTCCTCATTAGTAATTATTAGTATTTTCAAGGATAATTTGGCCAATTTAGATAAATTGTTAATTTAGCAAGGATTATGGAGACTAATATGGTTTTTTGATCCTTAGACAGCCTTAGAAAAGGGTTAGGTCGATGTTCAAGTGGGCTATGGAATGGAAGGAAGTTTAAAATTTTATGAGATTTTCTGTGCCATACGCCACGGCGGGCATGTCGACACACCACAGCGCACGTGTGAAATTAGCACTTATCAGATCGAGAATCAGACTCGAAAAATAGAAGAGAGAAAGAGAGAAAATGAGAGACCGACAGAGGAGAGCTTATCAACTGCTAGGGCACGATCCTTAGGCTACTTTGAGAGCATTTGGAGCTTGAATCACCATTAAGTAAGTTGTACATTCCTTCTTCTCCCTCTTTTATGTGAAAATCTAAACATTTAGGGTAACAAGGGCTTTGATTTCAGTTTTCTTGGATTTAGACAGAACCCATTAGTTTATTTAAGATCTTGGGGAGTTAAATCAAGCTTTTAACTTTAAGTTTATGAGTTTTGTGGTGATTGAGAATTTTTGATAGGGGTTTAGACGAACCTTAAGTATAATTTGAGGATTTTTAGACAATGTGGGACATTAATTAGCAAATTTAGTGTG